AGATAGATCATCAGAACCTGAGAGTAATCTTAATAATTGAAAAATTGTTGCAAAGAAAAAAAGAAACAAACAATCAAATAATTCTAATCATACCGTTTTGGTGTATTCATTATATCTTAATCTACGACAAAATTTAAATGCATCATAAAATTTTCTTTTTCTTTTTTTATCATAACAAATACATCATACAACATTTTTAACACATCAAAAAAGAAAAAAGAAGAAAATAAAAATAATAATACATGTTTTTGTTTTTCTTTCCAAGCAAAAAATCAAATTCCAGAATGTTTCATCGGAAAAAAAGAATGCCATCAAATTTGAATATCTTCAATCATTCTACTATATATACATACAATCAACAACAAAAAAAAAATGAAAAAGAAAAAGAAATGTCTTCATTCCGAATGATTGAATTTATAATGAACCACCAACCTAAAACAAACAAAGAAAAAGAAATAAATATACAATAAATTATTGAATTAAATATTAACATACTTGTTCTTGATACACATCAATTGTATCATTATCTTCCATTTCTAAAGCTTTTGGTGTTTCATCATCATTTATACGTTTACCATCAAAGAGAAATCTAAAAATAAAATTTCATAATTTAAAATATTCGATAAATAAATCGAACACTACCGCAAACTATTAACAGCGACTCCTAAATTAATCAAAAAATAATTAAATTAAAATATTAAATTGATTTCTTACCTTGACGTTCAGCATAAGATTTTTTTAATTTACCCATTGATGTTGTCATTTTAACTTTAAAATGAACTTCACCTTACAAAAAAACAAATAAGATTTCAAAAACAAATATGAACAATAAAATAAAAAACTAACTATTATCTTGACCAACAACTCTTAGTTTGATATATTCATCATTTTTACTTGCATTATTATTAGTTGCACCATCAGTCGATGACATCTTTTTTTGATTTTCTAAAATAAATTTTTTGTTGTTGTCGATTAATAACTCTTATGAGTTCCGTAGATTTGAAAGTTATGTTGGTAATTTAAAGTTATTCAGAAGAAAGAAAATCGAATAATCTAGAAAATGATAATGATTGGTCATTATAAATAGAAAATGACACATTAATGCATTAATCAATGCAAATAGTACTACAAACAACGGGAAATATGATGAAAGATGACGCTCAAATCGTTAAATAAGAATGTACCTCCTTTAGTAAATAATTAGGGAGTACATGATCTGGTCTTATAAAGCGTGGTAAGGAATGCAAATCAAGGTCGAATACACTTAGCGAAGCGACATCTAGATTTGATAGATACGTCAGATAAAGAAATTATGAGGAAAGTGTATGAAATCAGACGATATATTTACCAACATATTTTATTTTTAATAAAGATGAGTTTGATACAAACGATGGCGATACATTACACTGTTGTTTTAACAAGAGTACAACAGATTTTGCTTGAGATCCATGCAAACGTGAGATGTCGCTCAACAATCCAATCTGTAATTATAGTTGAATAGAAGAATTTCATATCATAAATAATCTATATCAATCATGTATGTCACATATTGTTAATATTAGATTTTTATAATGATTTTCATCCTAAACGCATTAATAGATATTCAGTGCGAGATAAATTTGATGATTCATGCATGTTTAATCAATGACTAAATCTATGAAACTAATGATATAGCCAGAACAAAAAAGTTATAGAGCAAAGAGCGAAGCTACAGTGATAATGCTTTTAGAGGAGACTCGACCCCATTTTTAAGCGAAACTCAACCAATGACAGGTGCAAGAGGACTGAGCCTCCTATCTATTCCTGTCCGGTTACGTCATCATGTGAAATCTTAACTACAGATGTATAATTGATTTATTGACTTTGTTAAAAAGAAAAGTAATACGAACTCTCTTAATGTCCTTTTTCAGTTCGTATCAATCAAAATTAAAGAATAATCTTATTTCTATATACAAACTACATTGTTGAAGCATTGGTTTTTTTTGATCCTACAAAAACTATCATAGTGCTGAGAAAGCAAATAACAACTATAAGAGAAAGGAAGTTATTAGAATCCACATACAATGAAATAACAAGTTTGTGATAATAACTTCAATCTATACAGAATTTGCTTAATCTGTTGCGATAAATTGATGACAAGAATAAATTGAATTTGCTGATAAAAAAAAAGTCAATTTAATGTAGTTTGTATCTTGTCTATATTGATAAACGATCTTTGATTTTTATTGAATGTATTTGAAAATAATTGTTGATCACATTCTTTATTTTTATTGAATCATAGCATAGAAATTTGTATTAATCACTTTTAGTCAGCTTGAGAAAGATTCAAAAAAGAGATCTATTGATTAACCGACCTTATGTATCACAGTTTGCTAATCGCTATTAAAATGTTAATGAAAATCTGTACGAATAATCTGAGTCAAATCAAATCATTATGTTACATTATTCATCTTTTGCAAGAGTACTGAACATTTCTCTAGTCTCATTAAATGATTTCACAATTATATGTTCACTTCGTTACTTATAAGTTATTATATAAGACAAGATAGGTACATTATAATTTAGAGATAAAGGTAAATTATTGTTTTATAAACATTATCAGTCGTGTTTTTTTTCAAGTATATGACTTTAAAATACTTCATGTAAATTCAAAAGATTAATTAGTAGATCAAGCATCTTTCTAGAGAAATTAGTTAAATAATCTGTATGTCATGTTTAAAAAATAAGATCTACAGATGAAGTGCAATTAAAAATGATATCTTATCTTACCATCGTATATAATTATTGCTATTAAGACAGAATTTTTTATTTTTTTTTTATAGGAAAGAGAATTATTTTTCATTAATAAGTAGAAAATGTGATATTTTACCTGTGAAAAATATAATGAAACAGTTGGAATATGTATTATATTATAAATTTTATCAAAAAAAATCCATTTATCTGATTAACAGAACAAGAAAAGTTCTATATTTTCCTATATTAATCAAGTCCCTCAGCGCACTCAGAAATTCCATTTTTTTTTTGTTCAGTCTAGCAGTTTTCAAGCGTAATACATGGTTAAGTAGTTCAAAGTGGTTACTTCCGAATAGATAGTCATTTCCTAATCTTAAAATGTTTTCTGAAACTTTTACAAGATTTTTCATGAAAAATGAATAATTTCAAAGTGTTTTCTGGAAGCATCAGTCGTCAAAGTCTTTTTGATTACAGTATAATAAGTTTGTAACATGAAGAATATGCCCAGTATGCATCGGTAAACATGTGTTATCAAACGTTACACATCTTCCAATTGAATCTATTCTTAGAATTTTATGATGGAAGGAAAAGTTGATTTTCAACATCAAAATTCATTTCACAGTTTTTTTTTCCTTACTGTTCTTATTCTAAACTCATTTAACTGTCACATATTTATTCTGCACTATTTTTTTATTAATTTGATAAGTTACTTAGAAATTTTATCAAGTATTTTTCTACAACCATTACAAGTTATTTTTTCTTCGTTTTTTGTTCAATCTAGTTTTTAGTTGTTTGAAGCTTGACAATTGTTCTTCTTATACTTTTTTTTTTCCTTTTATATTCTCCATATACTTTTAGTGAGCTATACACGTCAGCAACTGTAGTTTCATGTTTTCGAGATAAAACTCGATTATTAAATTATTCATCAATCGTTCAAAATACAATCTCTAATTTGTTTTCTGTTCTGCACGCAATGTTTTTATATATTTTATCAATTTTAAACCGGTTATTGAGTGCATAGTTTGGTTGAACATGTAACCACGAGATCGTAATGAGCATTGAATAGACGAATAATATAAATAATTAATAGTTTCTACGACACTTTTTTTTAATGTATAATATCTTCAATACGTTATTTAAAAAAATCATATCGATCTATTGTCATGAATTTATTCTCACATTCTCATGTTATTATTACACGAGAAGATATCATTCGTTAATATTTTATTTAAAAGATTGGCACAAATACTCAAGTCTTATATAAAAACATTCGATTAGGGTTTAATGTTTATCTGCATATAGACTAATTTTGTTGCGTCTCAAAACTTATAAAATACTCTGTATAGTTGCTAAAAGTTTCAATCAGATATTTTGTTCTGGCTTAAAAATAGATTTTTCAAATGATAGAGAGAGAGAGAGAGGAAGGAATGTTAATTAGATTTAATCAAACTTTCATGCATTGTTTCTAATATTATTTGTTTTATTGAACAGGTTTTTGTTTTTTCTATTCACTTGACAATAAACAGAAAGTAGATTAATGTTCATTCGTATTACAATTTAGTCTATTTATAAAAATGTCTTATTTTAGTTTAATTTATTTTCAAAAATATTCAGGAAATTATATCAGGATTTTTACACTCTGTTTAGTTTTCAATTTTTCATATCCTTTTTTCGTCATTAAATCTAAATTAGTTGTACCAAATGTTTGCTTATTTTTTCTTTTTTATACTGTTACTACTAACATCCTATATTCACTATTCAGAAAATGTGAATTACATAAATATTATGAATATAATCAATTATATGTACTGATATATGATAAAATATAAAAAAAAGATAATAATATTTTGATATATTAATTTTAGTACTAGCATAAATGTTTTCGTGAGTTTAATTTTTTATTTATGAGAATCATATTTTTGAATCAACGTATAAATTTGTTATTATCTAGCCTATCTGCTTTTAGTAAAATTGTTTTTCTCTTTTTGTAGAAGCAAAAACATCGGCCTGCATAGTCAACGTAAAATAAACGAGTCAGTAAAGAATGCTTTGAATGCTCGTCAATTGAATGTCAAAATGACGTCTTTACTCTTTTTTATTATTGCTTTTGTGTTTCCTCTTGTCATCTTTTTTTGTTACATCCAATTATCGCCTGAACACCCACGATGTTAGTATATAAAGAAAAGAAAAAAAAAAGATCTTATTATTTCTTTAGAATCATAAGCTCGACAACACACACACACACTTTATTCTATTGAGATTAAATAATGTATTTCATTCCTTTATGTCTTTTTGCTATTATTTGTGGCCATTCATTGGTCATTTCAGCTCCAATTAACCAAAGTAATACTAACGAAATTATTTTATTAATAGACAAAAATGTTAATATTTATCTTTTCTAGATTCTCAAGAAACAAAACATCAAGCAGCAACAGCTATTGCAAGTCATCTTTTAAAAGAATTAGCTAATGAACAACTTGCAAGTCAATATTCAAATGGAGATCTACAACAAATTGAATCAGATGATAATGAAGACGTTATTGGATATATACCAACCATTGATGATTTATATCTAATTGATGATAATATAAACGATGAAGAACTTTTATCAGAAATGAATGATACTGATGATGATCTTCCAATAGATGAGCAAGAATTAATGAATTATTTAGAAAAACAACATCAATGTATGTTTTTATAATAAGTTTTTTTTTAAATTATTTTCTAATCTTCTTATTTTAGTTGATGAAGATTTATCACCAATGATAAACACACCAATAATCGATGATAGTATAATGAAAGCAGAAGATCATTAATAATGATATTTTATTTTTATTGTAAAATAAAATTAAAAAAAACCAACATTCTACAAGAATGTAAAACCAAGCATGAGTGATTATTTTTTCAAAGTACACGTATAAATATATTTTCCACTTAATTATTATACATATCTATTTATGTTGTATTTGTGCGTAAATATATTTGTGTAAAACAATTATTAACAAGCAAAAAAAAATCAATTTTTTATTTAAATTTGTTTTGTTTTTTTTTAAATTTATTCTCCATCACGACTACTTCGATAAACACGAAGAATATCTTCAACTGGAGCACGACATATAGGACATTTAACAGCATGTGTTGTTCTACCTTGTTGAAGTTGTAATCCACACACATAACAAACACAAAGATGACCACAACGATAAAGAACTGTATCAGCAATAGCATTTAAACAAACAGTACAATGACCAGATTGTATTGGTTGAGTTGTTGAATTCATTGTTGTTGTAGAATTATTAGCTAAAGCACTTGCTACATCTTGACGTAATGATCTTTGCATATCCATTTGCATTGTAAACACAAGTTGAAGCATCTGTTGCATTGTATCAAGACGTGCTGATAATGCATCAATATTCGAAGCAGACTATTTGATATATTAATAAGAATTTTTTAAAAAAAAGAATTTTATATTTGAAGAAAATACTTACGGCATGAACATTGACTCGTGGCAGTTGAGTAGGAACTGGTGGTATTATAGCCGTAGGTGCTGCTTGTTGTTGTTGTTCAGCAGGTGCTCCGTGTTCCAAACGATTCTATATGTATATAGAAAATACATTCTAATTTTGATTATTAAAGAGATATAAATATCTTACTAAAACATTTTGTTCGAGGTGTCTACGAAAATCACTTTCTAAAGCACTTGTTACTAATTGTCGATGGACAAGATCACTAATTTCTAAAACAATTCTTTCACGTTGTAATTGTGTTATTGCGTCCCATGCTTCGAATTCACGTTGTTGTCTATTAAAATTAATTTATTTAATATATTAATAGATTATTTGAAATAGAAATACCTTTCAACGTTGGAAGGTGTACGTGATGATTGCTGTTCGATAGGAATTTGAGGTACTGTTGGAATGATCTGTGGACGTTGTTGTTCGACATTAACTGAAGCTAAAACTTGTGGTACACTTGATGTTCGTGGAGTTTGTTGTACTGGTACTACTGGTCGAGTTCCAATTGTATTACGAATAGTATTTTCTAGATCTTGTCGAAAAGCAGCACTACCTAATGCTGCTGATACACATCGACGATTGGTTAATGCATTAATATCAGCTATATGAGCACTAGGTGGTGCTGGTCGTGTCGATGGAACTCTTGTTTCTTGTTGATGTTCATGAATATTATTAAGAAATGTTTCAATTCTTTCTCGATTATGTTGTCCTGTTACAGGTCGTTCACCCAAACGTAAACGACGTAATTCAAACATGACTTCCATACGTTGTCGTTCAATAAATCTTGTAAATGCATCAGCTTCAATTTCAAGTGCCGAACAAGCTACATCTTCTTCACTTCTCGAACTTGAACTACATTCAGATTCATAACCATTTTCATCAATAGTTGTTGTCATAGGTTCATCTGTATAGTTCAATATATAGAACATCATCAAAACATGATTTTCAATTCGCTACCTTTATTAGTGACTATTGCTTCTTCTGTATCTTCTTCACCAGTTGCCATATTCAAATCTGTCGAAGTATTATATTCGTCCGTCATTTATTTACGATTTTTTTTTTGTAATGAAAAAACTAATACTATTATTTCTTTTTTTGTACACACACAGACTGCTAAAGAATAACGGGAGAGTAGTTATTTATTTGTTAGGTATTGCACAACTCTTAGCTCATAACCTAGATGAATCATTCATCACATTTGCTTGTTATTTATCTCTTGTTGTTTTACTACACATGAAAAGACGTCAATATGTGAATATGATTCACATGCTGACTTTTAGACCATAAAAGGAGAAAAAATCAAAAACACACTATGTCATAATTTTTATGTATATTTGACATATGACTCACAACAGAAAGGTGTTTTAAAAAAATGATGATTCAGTATATACGTATGTAGACTATATAATTAAAAATAAGTTAAAATGACTTTTTCATAAATATTCTTAAATAAATCATGGTTATCAAGGAAGAATTTTTTTGATTTAACATTAATTCAATATGAAGATTTATTTTCATCAACATAATAAACGTTTTACTAAATTTATATGACGTAAATTCTTTTAAAAAAACTATTGTATCATAGATCAGTTATAATTTAAAATAAAACTCAATGAAATATTATCTATTTTTTATTATCAAAGAAAGATATCCATGAGAAGATAGTGATGAATTTATTTGAGTCATTATTTTGATATTTAATATCACGAAAACAACAACTTCTGTCATTTGCACTATGAACTACGCAGATAGATTTAAAAACGCAGTAGATCAGAATTGTGACTCGTAATGATAAACAGTCGCCATAAATTTTTTCTAGTTTTTACACGTTTGTTTTTTTGAAAAAATGGATTATAGAAGTGTTTTTTTTTCTAACTATTTCTATGAGGATAATAAAGTAAATCTATTGTGAGAAGTAGAGTACATGTACAGTTGATTCATAATTTCTATATGTTTGATGATCATTTAATTAGTATACAAAGTTAATATAGCATTTGGATGGTGAAGAAAAAGCTTTCAGCGCAATCCCGACGGGATTAAAATATTAAACACGATGAAACTACTTTAATCATTGTGGAAAATCTCATCACTTATACGACAGATTGTGACGAAACTAAAAACTAGCATGTCGGAAAACTTGCTAAGCTGTTACAGACTGTGACTGGCGTATCGATATTTCTATCATAGTCTGTCAGCAGGCTAAAAGAGAACATCGGCATATTTGTAGCAACCTTTGTGGCAAGCTGGAGAGAAATGAGTTCAATTTTCTTGTCACATACTTCAACACTCATATATTTCACAGGAGCATAATAATAGTGAAATAGGAATCTTATATTCTTGCTATAGTGATTCAGAGGTAGATATGACTAATTGAGAGGTTGATTTGGTTGTTATAGGATGAGAAAAGTAAAAAATGACTCATGCTAGTCTGATTGGTGTCAGTAACAGCAAGGAAAAATATTTACTGATTGCAACTCTGAAGTTGATATTAATAAAGAAAAGATTACACTTATGGACAAAATATTCTCAAAGAATACTATAGTAAAGACTTGATAAAAGAAATAAACAAAGAAAAATATTAATTCGTCGGATACATAATTATATTTCTACAAAATATATCAATCACACAAATAAACGTCTATAAAGAAAACGTATTCATTAATTAAACAGAAATTCATCGAATATTTCAATAATTTTTAAAATACCTATATTGATAAAGACTATTCCATTTATTTACTAAAATATATATATTTTTTCTTTTTCTTATTTATATTCGTTATTTGTTTATAATGATTCTTGATATTTTTTTAATTACCAGTAAAAATCTAAAATTTTTAAAGATGACCAAGAATTTAATATTTATTATTGTTAAACAAAAAAAAGAATAAGCTTGTTTGACAAATCTATTTCATAACAAACCATAAAAAGAAATTAAATTTATTATAGAAAAATTTTCAATCATTAATCGATATTAAATTATGATAGAAATCAAATATAGCTTATGCAACTCGACCAAAAAGACGCACTCGCGAAAGACCACCATCAGGAATAATATTAACTCGTACATGAGTAATTGGACCAAGATCATTGAATTGATCTTTATCAAATGTATGAAGAGCATCCATTGTTAATTTCTTTTCAGGCAATAATGTTTCCCAAAATAATGATTGATTAACTAATGATTTACTATTATCTAGGGTGGCATCAGCTGCTTGAATTATACATCGATCGGGATAATTACCTTTATAATGAGCCGTATCAAGAACAATACGAGATATTCGTCCACGTTTACCTAAAGCAAGTACACACCATTCATTACCAGGTATACGTCGTCGTCGAGTTTCCCATCCATCACCCATGTTAATACCTCGACCAGGACGTAATAATGCCCATGGATTACCATAATGTTCATCACTTGCTGCTACAGCACGGCCACCATTCTCAACAGCTACTAAATCAACTTCTTCGTTAAATTTATCTTCAGATGGTTGAACAACACCATAAACACGAAGTCGAGCAATACCTCCATCAGGATAAATATTCAAACGAACATGAGTCCACTGACCATGAGCAGTAACTGCATGATAATGATGAGCACTTGGACCTAATGTAACTGCATGTAAAACTTCTTGCCAATGATCTGGTTTTTCTCCTTTATTAACACAGCATGCATCAAGAGAAGCAGCTACTGGATAATTTCCTGTGAAATGACTTGTATCAATATCAACACCAACAATTTGTCCTGGTAAACCTAATTGTACAATGCACCAATCATAACCAGCAACACGTTTTCGACGTGTTTCCCATCCTTCCATATATTGACCATGATCGTCATATCGTCCAGGATGAAAAACAGCTGCTGCTGAATTAAGCATACGAGATGCTGGAGCAAAAAATTCATCAGAATTAGATAATACTTGAGCACCAAGACGTTCATCAGCAAGATTTACATAAGCTGATGCAAGTGTCTGATCAAATGATTGTGATGTAGTAGACATAATAATATTTTCACGAATAGAAATAGGCTAAAATTTATCTAAAGTAAATTGTATATGATATCATATAGATTGTAAAGCTAAATCATTGATGTGTCAACATTTCTGTAGAAAAAAAAAATTTAAGTAGATTATATAAAAAAAATCAAAGAAGAATGTGATTATACGAAGAGAAGACTGATAAATCTAATAATAGAAAATGAAACAAAAATATTCTATAATAGAATCATAGGTATTATAAGTCTATAAAAATCGTTCATTCTATTCAATCAAAAAAAAAACTAAAGAAATTCATAACTTCGATCAATATCTATTCGAAACAACAATAGGTATTTCAATATTAAATGATTATTTCTTTGTGAAATAATTTATTTTTCTTATTGAATAGTAAACAGGAGCAGCGATCCTAGAAAATTGTAGAAACTGTACAGTCGTTTTGGCTTAATCTCTAACTCTGGTTTTTTTACGTACATGTGCATGCATATTTAGTATAACTATTATTTGTGTCTTAGTAGTTAAGTATATATTCGAAAAATCAAATGATATAACTGATGAGAATATTAGATAAGAAATCTGTATTCGATAAAAAAAATCTTCGTACTAGTATAAATATAAAATAGAAGAAATACAGAGTCTGAATAATAAACTACGCAACTTATTTATTAAAGCAAAACTTTTAAAATATATGACTTAAAATAAAATCTATTTCATCTATTATTAATATAATAATGTTTTAGAATGTGTAAAAATTTTCTAAAACAAAAAAAAAATCAAATCGATCATTTTCTTACTCTTATTATATTATATTTCTTCATTTTTCTGTGAACAAGTTTAATGGCTCTAATTTTTTTGTTGGTTTCTTTTGTATGCCTATGCTTATCTATCTGCTGATAAAGTATTCATAGACCCATATTTTACATATGAAGCGTTATCTATCTTTTGATTTAAAAGCAAATAAAACAAAGCTATGACTATTTTTATAAGACAAAAAGTAAAAAAAAAATCGAATCGAGCAAATTTCATATCGAATGAAATGGTTTTTAACGAATTGAAAATGAGTTTCAATAGATTTTAAGTCAAAAATTAGATTTTAGAATTTTAAAAAGTTGTCATTGAAATCACTTTTTTTTCTATATAATGTTCAACGTCATTCGCATACTAATTAACCTCCTATTAGTATCATAACATTTGAAAATACTCTATCAAAATACATTCACATTCTTAATGCGTAAATACACATGTCCTTGCAGCCGTATTGTTGTGCACGTCCTTCTTTTCTTCTTTCTTTCTTTGCTGTAAAATGATCTATTTTATCGTCTTGTACATACCAAGGTCATTTCTTTTTTTTCGTTCGTGAAAATCAGTGAAATTTTCACATTTTTCCTTACTTTAGTTTTTCTTTACTAATTGAGCACAATGGCAACAGAAAATAGACGATGTCACCATTTTTGTTTTATATCTACCTACTTTCAAACAGAAGAGCATACCAAGCTACCCTTCTTTTGCTCTTTTTCTTTTCTCTCACTATCTGTGCTTTTTGTGTTTCTTTTTTTTTCATTTCTTTTTTCGTTTGCCTGGGCATACATGCTGGGATGCTGTATGAAAAGGATATTTTTTCCTAAATATATCAGTTAGATTCATTCGGAAATAACTCTTGATTGTTTTAGCTGCAAAGAGGAATCTCTCTAACACATCAAGATACTAAAACGAGTAAATGTTTCATAAGCTGTAATGAAATCTTATCTGAACATTTGGTTGAGATTAGAAACAATATCGAACTGTATTTCATTGATTTGAATTAGATCAAATGCCATCTATTCAGAAGCAAAAGCTTTTTATTTTCATCTGAATGGTATTCAAAGGCAAAATAAATATATAAACTCTGATAATACAAATATGACTAACCAACACTGTAAAAAAAATCAAACCAGGACACATGGAGTAAATGTAAAGACAAGACAGCTCATGTGTTTTTATCTGCCATGGTTTGACCATAGATACTAATGAAAGGAATGTCTAGTTTCTGTCTTTTCTAGACATTTCAGCTGATTAATGACCTACTAATTCTAAAAATAAATACACTTCTATATGAACATTAAGTGTTAGGGAATATATTTTCAATATTTTTGTTTTTCAAATTTAACACAATATTTGAAAAGGTTTTAGAAGATTTTTTTGATTATTTCCCCTCAAAACTTTGGATGAAATTTGATATATTCATTATAGAACTATTAGATCAAAAGTCAGTTGACGTGTCTGAGAGAACTAAAACTGAATAAGTTCCAAGAAGAAATTTACAGAAAATCTGGAAGAAGTGACATGTTTTTGAAAGTTGATAATAAAAATCAGATAAACATTTAATGTCTATTTGATTCTCTGTCGTATATCGGGTTTGTTTGTAAACTTTCTGACGAATGTAAATAGTTTGGAATTAACAAAATGTCTTTTGAATTTTTTTTCTGTGTAATAAGGAATACTGTACGTTTATTTTCTATCGAATTCCTCATGATCACTGATTAATTTATTATTTTCTCTACTTCATTGTATTTTATTGTCCTTAATTCATGTTTTATTGTACTTTTCCTCTCTAAGATATACGAAAGGAATCTTCATTACCCGAGGAGATAGTTAAATATTTTCTATATTGTTGTATAATGAAAATACAACTTCATTTCTTTTTGAAATAAGAAAAAAAAAGAATAAAGAAAATCGTATTTTCATTATATAGTAAAACCTCTCTATTGTGAATACCATCCGAATCGCTCAAAAGTATTCACTATACGGAGGTGTTCACTTTAGAGAGTTGATATAAATTTTACTGAAAAACAAAGAAAATGCCCGAGAAATCTGTTTCTACATTATTCTTAGATAAAAGCTTGCTTGTTTATTTATTTGCGCATCTACTTTCATCGAAATGATCTGAATTAAAAGATATATCAATTACAATATAAAACTTAGGTTTTTTTTCAAAAAGTCCTCTAATATTGTTTGTCTTTTTGCTTTTGAGTCAATATAAATATCAGTTAATCTAACTTCAATTTACAATTATCTTTATCGTCATTACCATTATCATCATCTAGCTGGATGATATCACGAGCCATCAGATTTTCACAATTATCAAACAATTCATTAAATGTAGGTACATCTTTGTCTATATCAATAAAATCACTTGCACTCATTTTTTGACCACCCATTGTGACATATTGTAACAAATGTTCCAACTTTTTTGATTCTACAGATCGTTCGTCATCTGTTACTGATGTTGTTAGATCATTTGAAGAGGGTGATATTGTTGAATCATTGGAAGTTGGTGATGTTATATTATCATCTGATTTGTCTTTAAAACCAGCAACAGGAAATGTACTACGTATTATTGTGCCTGTAACAGTTTTCCATCCTGTACTGATCCAATGAATAGCATCTAAATATGTCATTTTAATATCATCTAGTGTTTGACATGTTACACAGGACGCTATTATATGCTTTACTAAATGTTTTCTGTAATGAGCTTTAAACGTCTAAATAATATCTTGACCTAATGGTTGGAGTTTTGCGGTGGTGTTTGATGGAAAATATCGCAATTTTACATTTGAAAAAGCATTATAAACAGGATGACATGGAGCATTGTCAATGGATAAAATAATTTTTCTCTTTTGTTTTTTCATTAGTACATTTAAATTTGATAGCTATTCGGTAAACAATGGGACATTCATCCTTGCTGACTTGTTCGCCTACCAATCTATCAGAAGTTTGTTAACATTTAAGTTTTTAAAGCAACATGATCTTAAATTTCTACCTATGAGGAAGAATAACAGTAAAGTTATTAAATATTTAAATATCCAATAATATATAGAAATATCTAAAGAATAATTCTTATTGATAACTCAAGGCTTCAGTTTCTTCTCATCAGTTGCATTAACACCAAACAAAATAGTAAAACAATCTTTGAATTTTTTATCACTTTTACGATCTTCTTTACTTAATGTTAATGATTTATTAGGCATAGCTTTATAAAATAGACCAGTTTCACCACAATTGAATATATTTTTGCATCATATCTATCGATTATTTTTGGTACTCGTTGAATCCAATCATCAACAATGAGAACATCAACAGATGAACTTTCACCACTAATAACATGATGTGAAGTGTTATGTCTTCTCCTAGATTTTTCTAGTCATCCGTTAGATACTTTAAATGAACCAAATCTATCACCTAATGATTCAGCTATTTCACGTGCCTTCTCCTGCAATATCGGACTAGAAATAGCTATTTTTTTTGCACGTTGCTGTGCAAACCACTCATTAACTTGTTCATCTAGTTTTTGTGCATTGACATCTTTTAATATTCGTTTAACATTTTGAGTTTGATTTATTTCATAACCATTTAAATATTCTATTTTATGTTTTAAAATATTTGATACAGAATCAAGTGAGATGTTATATTTTTTAGCTAATCTACGATGTGATAAAGCATTACCATCTTTATTATCAAAAATTAATTGTATTTTTTCATGTAAAGTGAGCTCATGTCGAGATGTCATTCTTCACTTCACATGCACAACAGTGAAATTATTCAAAAAACGCACTTAGTCAAAGTGCAAAAGAACTAGATCAAGGAAAGAAAGAGGTCAAAAGAACATATTAACATTAGGAAGGTCATAATAGCATAAAGGATCGCAAAATGGTGCTCACATTTAGAGAGAGACATTTTCAGCAAAAACCGCTCCATCGGATCGAAGAACGTTCATAATTTGGAGATGTTCACTTTAGATAGGTGTTCATTGATGAAGGTTTTACTGTAATTAATAAACTTGTTGTGGAGGAACCATAACAAGACCGTACGATATGAAGATCCAATAAAATATAAATATAACTTCTAGAAGGTTACCAAGTTGTTCCGATGAAAAAAAGGCTGATTCTTTATGACTGAAAAACACAATTATCAAGGTCACTCAAAATAGTCACACAAGATTCAAATTTTAAAAACTGTATTTATCATCATCATAAATATTGATTACGTATATGGTACTTATTACAAATAAAATTTTGTATCTAGCAATAAATACAACAACATTGTTTTAAATAGTTTGATACACTATCTAGAATCAATAATAAAAATTTTTATTGATATCTATAACTATATTTAAGGTCAACGTAATGTTTTTGATTATTCTCTAAAAACATTTGCTTGTCCTTCGGATATAAAGTAAGAAATTGTTATAAAATGAAAATATTGTTCAATATACAAAGCATCATGATAATTCTTTGAATGAATTTTCTCTCTTTTCTTATTTTATTGTAGATTATTGTATGACTGTTGATAAAAAAAAAGAGCTTATTAGTACAGCCTCTTTGGAGCTGAAATATTAAACTTACATAGATTTTCAAAGAAAATCTATGTGAGTTTCACAAAAAACGAGTACAATCTATGTAGATGATGTCGACATATGTTTAACCATTGCTTCTGTTAATTTAAATTTTTGTATTTTGCCTGTTGGTGTTGTAAACGGAAGAAATGATTCAATAATTCTAATATGTTTTGGTACTTTAAAAAATGCTACTTTTGACGATAGAAATTGTCTCACTTCTTCGACATCATTGATTTTTGTTCCTGGTTTTAGTTTAATCCATGCACAGAGTACTTCACCATATCGTTTATCAGGCATACCAAATACTTGTGCTTCAGCTATATTTGGATGTTCTGAAAGAAAATGTTCTACTTCAGTTGGATATACATTAATACCACCAACAATAACCATTTCTTTTTGACGTGATCGATAATAAACATAACCATGTTCATCCATAAAACCTAAATCACCTGTTCTTAACCATCCAGATGATGTTATAGTTTCACGTGTTTTTTCATCATCACCATAATAACCTAAAGATTAAAATAAATATTTAAAAAAAAAATCAAAGAAATTCTTTTGAAAGAAAATTTACCTTTCATAATATTAAAACCTCGAGCACAAATTTCACCTTCTTGACCAATTGGTAAAATATGTCCGTGAGAATCTGCTATTTTCATTTCAATTCGAGGTAGTGCTTTTCCAACAGATGAATATCGTCGTTTTTTATCATCTTCAGCAAATACACTCATTGCCATTGAAGCTGAATTTTCTGTTTGACCATATCCTTGTGAAATTGTTTTTATTGGAATTTCACGTTCAAGTTGTTCAACTAGTGCAGGATTAACAGGAGCTGCACCAAGAATAGCAAATAAAAGAGAACTCATATCAAATTCTTTTCGTTTTGGATGAGCAAGTATATCACGAAAAATAATTGGTGCACCAATTAATGCTGTACATTTTTCTTCATGAATAGCTCGCATTGTTTCAAAAGTATCAGGTAAAATAGAAGGAAATGTTGTCAAATATTTTGGTGCATTGATATTTAATGTACCAGCTATTTCACCAAATATATGAAATGTTGGTATAGGACAACAAACATGACTCATTAATTCTGGATATAAATAACAAAGATGAAAATTATTATTTAACCTAAAATATTATAGAAAGATATTATTTGAACAAAATCTTAAAAAAGAAAGAAAGAAACAAACTTACATATTATAATTTGTTAATGTAGCTGCTTTAGGTTGTCCTGTTGTACCTGATGTATAAAAAATAGCGAGTGGAGTATCACCATCCAATTGCGACTGCCGTGTACGTCGTTCTTCTTGTTTACTGTTGGCACCTTTACGTATTAGGTCAGTATAACAATGCATACCTTGTGGTAGACTAACTGATTTACCATTATCACTAGGTGTTAATATAATATGTTTTAATGTTGGTAAAGCTTGAGCATTGATTTCACCTTTTGTTTGACTTAATTCAGGAATTAATCTATTCATTATTTTAATACAATCAATTATTTTAACATTAGGTCGCATAACTAAACCTTTACAACCAACTTTATTTAAACAATATGTTAATTCACGATCCATATAAGCTGGATTTATATTAACCTATAATAAAATTCTATTATATGATTTTATTACAACATATGTTCAATTACTTTAATCACGCCAACTTTTGATGCTGCATATGTAATTACACAATTTTCCGATGTATTTGGTAACCAAACAGCAAGTCGATCATTTTTTTCATAACCAAGTTCAATAAGACTTGTAGCTAAACTATCAACTTCATCAAGGAATGATTTATATGTATAACGTTTATTTCCTTCGCCTTTAAATACATAACATTGATGATCTGGATGTTCAAAAGCTAAATTATCTAAATGTTGACCAATTGTATGATAGAGTAATGGAACTTCAGATGCATGATAATAATAACTTTTTGTTAATTTTGTTGAAGGAATTGAAACTTTTGTTATTGTTAATGAACAACGAGACGAAAAGTTTATTATTGATGGATATAATAATCGATATGATGTCCATAGACGTGATGATTGTGATAACATTATTCTAGACTATGATTAATGAGAAAATTTTGTTTATTGATAGAAAATGTTATTAACAATGATAATAATGTGCATAATAAATGGATGAATGAAACAAAAAAAAAAAAATAATCGAATTTGTAATGTAATGACAGAGATAGATTATTTTCTTTTTTTCAATAAAAAAAACAACATTAGATGTGAACTTTGCATGATGTTTTTGTTCGCTTTATACTTTTAGAATTTTTCATAAAATGAATTAAATATTAATCTTTTGATCTACATACTTTAATGATTGTTTATTCAGTATTGATTGAAATAGACAAAATTTTCGACGTATGTCAACAGTCAGTTGATGAAACTTCGTTCTATTTTTCGATTAAATACTTATTGTACGGTCATACAAGAGAGAAAGAACGAACGAGAAAAGAAAAAGGGGGTGTGAGAGTGATTGGTGTACGGTATATTTTACGTTCGTTAGTCGCAAAGAGAAAAAAAAACGTTATTTTATGTGTCGCCTATTACTATAGTTGTCCTTTCCTCGACGTAAACGACCATGAATGCTGTCTCATATTGTAGCAATACGTGTCATACTTGTAAACATTATAATATAAAAGCATCTATGCAATTGTTTGTTGCAGTTGTAGAAATGGCAGAAAAGAAAAACAAATAAATTAGACTATGTATCATTGGGTACGTTCTGATATCGAATAACAAAAGGAAATAAGAATACAATGACATTTAATCCTTGTTGTATTTTATTAAGATATATAAAAAAAATCATCTAATTTTATATCAGTAAGTGTCACACATTGAACAAAAAGTAGAAATAAGAAGTTAATAAGAATTAGTGTCACGAGATTCTACAAAAAAAAACCAAGATATATTTAAATCATAATAAAAAGAAAAACAATTTTTCACATACATATCGCTGAAAATTCTAGCAAATACTTTTTTTAAATTAGTAAGTGTATCTTGAGTCTGTAAAAAAAAAAATCATCGGAATATTTAAGCAAATACAAAATAATTCTTTCTTTTATTTTATCTTACATTAGTAGTATTCGATTTTTGTCGAATTTTTTCATTTTGATTAATTTTAAATTCATTATTTTGCGGAAGTTTTGGTAACTCCTCAAAACTTGGTATTCGTCTATTAATAATATAAAATTTTTATTATCAAAAAAAAATTAGGAAAAAAAAAAGAGAAAAAGATATTTAATTTACGTTAAAATCGATAGTTGTTGATCAGGTCGACAATAAATTTGCATTTTATGCATAATCAATTCGGCAATAGATCGACAATCTTCTTCTTGTGTTTCATTTAATAATTGCATAGTACAATCATTTATTTCAATAATATATTCTTTTCCACTTATTGATTTAATTACTTCAATAGCACATATATCAAGTCCGCCAAACAATTGACTTACTTCATCAATCCATAAATGATATCTTTCATAAAGAAAAGAAATAGAAAAATAAAATCTATTGATAATATTTAAAAAAAACCTGTCAGTCATTTCAATTTGTTTAACTATAGATGAACCGATATTTGCTTTCCAATTACCGCTTAATGATTTTCGACTAAAAAAAAAATAAAAGTTTCAACTGTCAATTCATGTTGATTTATTTTTTTCAAGAGTTCAAATATAAAATTTCATAAATTTATTTTAAAGGAAATGTAATATATGTAAAATGAGTCGTTCAAAAAGGACAACAAGATAAAATTTGCATTTTTTGACCTTCTTGCGATTCTAGACGTCTAACTTCCAAACTATTTTTTAGAAAGAGCCTATTTACTCAAATATACTGTTTGGGTTTTTGTGTTAAATGACTGATATACATGAATTATTCGTAGATGATGCAAGACAGTATTGCGAGAAGTTGCACTTTTGAAAATGTTGGTCTAAATCAATTTAACGATAAATGCTTAGAAAACAACAATAAAGAAATCACAATAAGTGTATGAACATTCAGATGCATTTAACTATCCGCTACTTGTATTCGAAAATATTCAGTTCTTACTGATCCTTTTCTCCTAAGCGTTCTTTATGGATGATCGTAAATAAAACAGCAATGAAACATTCATCTTTTATTTTCCGAGACTTTAAGTTTTTCTTATCTGATAATATACATAAAATCATATGTATTATATATTTAATATCACTAAAAGATTATTTCCAAAAATACAACAAGTTCAAAATTCACTTTTCTCTAAGATCTTATCTAACATAATGCTTTTCTACTACTAACTGACGAATGCTTAGATCTAATCTAATATATTTGTTACGATCAAAATTATATTTCCTAGTTTGTCCGGACATTATTAGAATTGAACTAGAAGTCAATTGATCAAGTCGAAGACAGTTAGAGTTTGAATAAATAAAGAGTGTTTTTTTTCTTCATTTCACAAACTAGTGTTCTTATATCGCACACGTTACAAGTCACATTATGTTAATCCTTTCTTGCCACATGGCACCTATACGTGACATGTCATAAAAATTTAGTTCTCTCAATCTGTAAGACATGTAAAAACTAATTTTATATCAAAATATTGAAATATTAATTCATTCTTTGGTATGAAGAATTTCTGTTGCTGTTCATATATATACATTTGTTTGCGGCTTGAAAAAATCAAACATCACCAGATCGATCTATGTTCGTCACAGACGAATTAGAATTTTTTCTCTTACTCTGCTAGAGAAAAATGTGAGATTTCGCAGATTGTAGTAACTGCTTTTTGTTTGTTCTCTTATCTTTCTGCTGGAAATTACGTTCCATATATTATATATCATTGAATCAACCATTGCTCTCTTCTGTTGACAGTTCTATATGATAAGTATCTTAGTATTAAAAAATCTGATTCGACAATTTCCTGTGTAAATTAGATATAATTAATTAGACGTTTCACTTGGCGAATTTCAGTTCTAGATCTCTAACTTTAGACAAGAAAGACACACCTTATTGAACCATACTTTTACTCGATTTTACATAGGTTAGAATGAGATATAGTCAAAGAAAAAATTTCTAGTTTTTTGTTTTTTACATCGATACTGTTTTCTGAAGTATTTGCTTTTACAATCATTTGTGCGCCAGATGGTCGATCTACGAACATAAAGTTCATAGATTTCAATCATTGTGATATTTCACAACTCATTTATGACATCTTATCTTAATTGTTTTGATATTGACTGATTTTATATCAACTAAATATTTAACAACATTAAAATGTTTTCTAATTTATCATATTAACAAATTAATCTATGAACATGTTTAAGATAAATAATACTTCGCGGCAAATAAAAAGTTATTTTTATGTGTTCTAATTCTAACTATCTTCGACTTAATCTATATAGTTCCAGTTCAATTGAAAAAATTTATTAAAAGACAATCTAATCAAACAAGCAAATCTCTTTTTTTTTGTTGTTGTTGTCCGCCCGTACAAATTCAGAATTTGACTGAATTCCAATTGTGATTGTAAACAGATCAAAACTGCAATACAAATGTCGCTTTGAATCTATGTATTCAACCCAATTGCAACATTCTAATGACGGAAATGTCACTTTTTGTTGAATAGCAACTAAAACATTTGCCATCGTTTATTTTCTTTATTTCTTAATTTTTATAATTGCTTCTTCTCTACTAAAGAGTGTTATAATAGTCAATTCTCTTTCATATTCCTCAATATATAAAATGGAAGTATGGAAAAATTTTAATTTACCTAAAAGCTTTATAATTATTGCCAATTTTTTGTATATAAATATCACATTGTCCATTAATATATGGTTCAATTGTAGAATAACATTTACTCATTGAAATAATACTTGTTAAATCATGATAATCATATGAATTCTCAATTTTAATCTTAGTAAAGAAAATAATTATATTTGTATTTAATTTAATTTAAAAAAAGTTTTCTTTTGGTTCAATATACTTTTCCTAAACCCTGATGAGCTTGACCAATTTTAATTACAGATGGAAATTGTGGTGAAATAAACTAAAATAGACAAAAAAAAATGTTTATGAATAAATATTATTATAAAATTTTAACCATTTTTCGATGATTTGGATAAAAAACTTGATTTATTAATGGAAACTGTTCCGCACCTAAGCGTTGTTGAATCTTGAGTAATTCTGCAAACTATATTAAAGAAATTTCGTTTATTTGAAAAAAAAAATTAAATTAAAAACATACAATCCAAGGTTTATCTCGAAAATTATATAAAGCTCTCATTGAATTTATACTTGGTACAGCTCCATATTGCATTCCAAGAATAATATTTATCCAATCAACATTAATATCTATTACATATTGTCGAACAAGTACAAAATCTGGGCAAAAAGATCTTTAAATTAAAAATAAACTTATCATTTTAGAAAGAATAAATTCAATTTTTGTGTTGTTTTTTCTCATACCGAACAATATGTTTTCCATTTCGATAAACATCTATATTAATTAAAATTCCACCATCAGAATAAGCAGATAGATTTATTTCTTTAAATTGTGCCTAAAGAATTTCAATAATTTTCATTATGAAAAAAGAAAGATGTAGAAGAAAATCGTTACGAGACTCATTCTTTTCTTTTTTAAAATTTATACATAAACAACATTTAAATATAGACAAAAACCTGTTCAACATGAATATCATAATCAGCAAAAATTTTTTTGTTTTGAAAATATTTACTCCTAAGATTATTTAAATATTTATAAAAATCAAATTTATTAAAATATACCAATCGATTTGTTCATCATCAATAACAAATAATAATTTTGATTTTTCTTTCAATATTGATTGTGATGATCTGAGTTCTATTCCAGTTTGTTGATTAACAGCATCTTTTCCAATATTTGAAAATGGATTAGGATATAGAATATTTCCAGCGGAATGCCTTGATACATTTCTATATGGTATTAATTTTGATTCCAATATTGATTGACGAGATGGAATATTCATATGAGAATCAAGTAATGTTGATCGCGTCATTATAGTATCAGTTGATTCATTTTGAAGATCTTCTAAAGAGAATCGTCGTTTTATATAGTCCATCATTATTATTAAAAATAATATTTGTATCTGAACCTACAAAAAAAAAAGAATTCTCTAGCATTCGTAATTTATGATTATTTGATGTTTTCCTTCTGACGACATTAGAATTTATATGAATGCAATGTAGCATGAAAAATAATGAAAAGAAGATTCATCTCAAACCATATTGTTTCCTACTGCATGCTTGCCTGATGAAAAGCAATTGTAAATATATAATCTAGAACAATGAGAAACAAATGCATACGACAAATGTCACGATTGAATCAATGCCTATATTGTACGAATATAAAATAATATAAAATAAGTTGATAATGAACGACCACTTCCTTTGTTGATAAAAAAAAAAGTCAAGACTATTGTATTTATTTTAAAGAATAGAGTAATTGCAAAGGAGACAGTGAGTTTTATGCAAATGAGCACACTGCATGTACCACAAAATTCTCTCTTTCTTTTTCTCTTTTCTTCTCATCTGCTCTTGTATGAACTCTCGAAAAAGAATAGAAACATACAACGGAAGATGTAGAAGGAAGCAAAAATAAATGCATTCAGAATATAAAACAAATCTTTATTAGCTGTTACTGCAATCTACGAAAAGACATGAACAGATGTCGCTGACAAGCTAATTTTGTTTGATTATGAGCAATTTATCGAGCTCTTCTATTACAAAAAATTGAACATTAAATTTTGTTAGAGGACACATCATATATTTGATTGATATCTATTAATTATCAAGTGATTTTTCTACCTTGTTGGAAAGTTATATGAACATTTTTCTATGATAGTTTGATACAATTTTCTTGTTATATTTTACATTATCATAGAAAATAATTGTCGAAAGAATGACAGACGAAGAAAAAAATATAAAGATGGTTATTAACGTGCAAACCTTTAACATATGTTAGTGAAAAGAAAAAAAATCAAGGTAATATATGCAGGCATGAGAACGGGTTCAATGATGCATGACATACGGTTACTTGAATAGAGAAGACCTCTAAGAATTAAAATCGACAAAATGAGTTTCGATTACCTTGACTAGTGCGATCGGAGAACATTTTTCTTTCATTCTCACTTTGATATATACAAGCAATATCATTCTTATAGATTGGTGACAGTCAAATCACTGCTCTTTTCATTTTGAAGGAAATTTATTCATTGCTCATTTATATTTGATGGTAAGAGATTATATCAAAATTTCGTAATAGTGATGATAGGGGTATTCAAGGTAAATACTACACTTTGTGTATCGAGTGAGCATTTTCTTTTTTTGTGAGTGGTTAATAGGCGTTCGAATAAAGTAATTTTAATATAAAAAGAAAGAAAAAGGTAATCCTATTTCATTTATTTCTTTAGTTTAAAAATATGAATTATCCATATCCACCATCTTCACCTTATATGCAAACAGCCCTAACACAAGCTGTACAAGCAATAATGACTGGTGGACCAGTGCCTGCAAATTGTTGTTTTATGTCAATGCCATTTCAACAAGCACAACAAATTTTACCACAATTAATGAGGAAAGCTGCAATTGGTAATAAAGATCCAAAAATTTTTCCTCAACAAACACCATATTATAATCAATTACCATATACAAATAATCCTCAAACACGTGGTCGTATACCTCAACAAAAGTATAATTATCCAGTGATGACATATAAAAATAATAATAATAAAAAAATTAAGAAACCAATTCGTCAACAACAACAACATCATTCAAATATTTATAATTCATCTTCATTTGATTCTTATATGCGTCATTTAAGTTGGAGTCGTTTATTTAATCATCATCATTCTCGAAAACCTCTTAAACCAAAAAGTCAAGATCAAATATTAGTAGATTATGATAGAAAATCAGATTCATCAAAAAAACAACGATCAAATTCTTCAACAACATCATCATCAACAACAAGTGATGAAACAATTCGACGAGTTAATGTTACTAATAAACCATCATCTAATATGAATCCAAAACAACAAACCAAAGGTAGTTTACCATTTAAATATTCATCTGAATTTATACCAGGTGTTGGCAAACAACAATCGCAAAACATCAAATCTAATGATATTTTCATTGTTAAAAAACCTTAATCAATACAAAATATAAAAAAAACAATTTTCTTTTTCTTTTTGTACAAAAAAACAGAAAGATTAGTTTTCTTTTTTTTCTTTTGATATAAATTAAAATAGATGAACTACCAGAAAGTTAAAATAATAATCATCTGACATATTTCGAAGAAAACGAAAAAAAAAAAAAAGAAACAAGTACCAAATAAATTCTCGTGTCCTTTTTTTCTCTATCGTGTACAATTTAACGAAAAAATTCCGTAGGAATAGTAATCCTTGTTGATTGTGTATGATAGTCAATGATTGGATGAAGACGAAAACGTTGATTTATTTGATTAAAATTATTTTTCTTTTGAGGAAATTGAAGAAGACGAGCATTAGAACTATGACTTCCACCATCAATATCAATAACCATACGTGTATGTTTTATAAATAAAATTAAATCATTGGATTGATCATTCGATCGTTCAAAATTTACTATTTGATATGGTGTACGAGGTCCCATATAACGATAAAGAACGATCGGTGCACAAGGTGCTGGTGAACCACTAATATTAAAACTAAAAAAAATATCTAAATAAACATCTAAACTAAATTTACTTATGAACAGTAAGTACAAGACCAGTGGAACGATGTCGAATAATATAATCACGATAACCAATATGTTGAATTTCAAAAATTTGTGATTCACTATTATTCTATGGAATTTAATTTAAACTAATATAAAATTTTAAAAAAAGGAAATTCATAACTAACTTCAAAATTTCGATCTTGTTGTATTAAAGTTGAACGTTCAGGTGAAAATGTAATAAATTTACCTGAATGTAGAGCTTCAATTACATAAAAACCTTCTGGTATTTTTTCACTCTAGAAGACTAACAATAAACAGATTAAAAGGAAAAATTCTACGAATCATACCGCAAGATACCATTGATCATGCATGGTAAATAGGTACAAATCAATCACAATTATGTTCTGATATTTTGGTATTTATTGTTTTTGTTTTCGTTACTCCTACTTCTACTACTCCTACTACTTGTGTCGATTAAATACAGCGAAAAATGAATCGTTCTCGTGATCGTCGTTATAAACACAATACTATAAACACGTTCACATTTATCGACAACAATGGTCGAAAAAGAAAGAATGATGAGAATGAGAGAAAGACGAAGAAATAAAATGTAGTTATAAATAACAAAAATAAGCAAGATAAGTCCTTGTGATGACGAATATATATATATATATATATATATAATTCTATATGCAATTGAAATAGAATAACAAGAGCGGGCAAATTATTATTATTTGTTTTTTTCTTATTCATACTGTTTTTTTTTCTCTAGAAACTTGAAAATATTCTATATATTAGTATACAAATGATTTATTTTCTTCACTTATTTGAAGAATCGATTAATATTTGTATATGATTCATGAACAAGTTGCTTGGCGCATTTTCTTGGTTTGTGTAACAGCACGTTACTTGATAATGATGGTAATAAACTTTCTTGATGTTGTTATTTTTTACTTGACATATGTGTATGAATATAAATAGAACGATGCTGATTTACCTTGAAATGTACATGTTTTTGACAATATTGTAATCAATATAAAATATCATCTGATAGAATATGCTCGGTCATCTGACTTAATTAAATACGTGAAAAAAATATTTTTGCGTAGTTTACCGACCTAAAAATAATATGATGTGACGATTAAAACTTATCATTATGCTGGTAAAACTACAAAAGTTTCAAAAAGTTGATAAATATGTTTAGAAACGTATTATAAATTTCCTACATTTATTTTAATTAATATTAAATGAACTTGAATATTGCAATAGTTAGGTTGATTTGAAAAGAATAACTGTTCTAACAATTTAATTCATTATTTCATCGAATATTGTCAAAACTTGATAATAGTTATACAAATTACATAATTATATAATGATTTGTTGGAGCATAACTGATACAATTAAATTTTCAAAGTATTTTTTATAAATCATAAAATTGATTTACGTTTCATGTCTTTAATATAAAGTTTTTAATCTGATACGACGTACAACATTTATATAGACCTTCACAAGTGTTTTTTATTGCTTTATTTACGAAAGCCCTCGATACATTAAAAGATCCCTTGATAATAGAAGACTCTCTCTCTCTCATGAACAAATGAAGTAAAAGATAATTGAGACGGTCTTCTTCTGTTCAAAGCTTCACTTCTCTTGTGAATTTTCTCCTAGGTATTCGTACACATTCTTAAGTAGAAAAAAACCTATATCTCTGCACACACGTGTTCTATGAAGTATGCTTTTTTATGCCTGAGGACGCAATCATTTTACAAAGAGGTGCAAAATTTGTTTTTTTTTCGAAATTGATACAAACAACACTAAAAATACTTTCAACGTATTATTCAATCATTCTGTTTCTGTAAACTATTTCTTCGTGCATAATTGTATTCATTCAAGCGAGCTAGGAACTAATAACGAAATTGTAGTATATTTCATTTAGAAAGGATGCCATCTACACTCATCCAATCTCATCATAATCAGTTGATCACTCAGGTCAACGAATACAGAGTCTATATACTACACCTGTAAATATCCGTATGTCCCATGAAGATGTATAATTATAATACTAAATCATGTATATTGTCATCTTTTTGTATGTAAGATCGTCAATGATCGTACCTATATGACATGGGAATTAATATATAATTCAGTTGTATAAAGTGGAAACTTATCATTGGTTTTGATGCTGGAGTTAAAAAATAAGATTCTTAATTGAGACGGATATTTAAACTCAAGACTAATATACGAGCGTGCTTTTTCAACTTGGATGAATCGACATCATCTATTTTCTAATCTTTATTAGCACAATGAAAAGGCAAATTTTTGTAGGCTTTATTGTTTTTTTAAGGTTTCAAATAATGAAAAGGAAGATAGCAACAAAAGTCAGCCAGCATTCTCTCTAGACAAATAATTTTCTCTATATCATCTGTACATACAGCTGATCATAGAGAGACAAAGAATCAACCAATCAATCGATAGTATTGATTAGAAACATGTTAACACGTGCTAATCAATTTCGCAATAGTTACTTTTTTTTGACGTCAATCAGTTGATTGATCGAAAGGTAAATTTTGCAAGTACAATAACAGGAAAAAAAACAACCTGATTCCCGTAAGCTGTAAATATCTTTTGAGAAAAAGTATTTCGTACTTAATCGTAGAAATGATGATTCGTTTTTTTTTAGATATCCATGTCTCAATAATCGGTATTCGAAGTTTCGAATGCCGTCAAATTGATATTTTTCATTTTGTTTCACTATTAACTTTACTATTATTCAAAAAGATATTTATAGATCTTTGTTTAAAAAAAAATAATTAAGATACTTATTGACATCAAATTAAATTGATCTATCCGTGTAACATACAATGGGATAAAAAAAGGTAATCGAGTAAAAACTTTATATACACAATATTTACTTTTCAGAGTATTTCAATAATAGAAATGTTTGAATTCAAACAAACAAATTATAAAATCTATTTTGACAAAAAGGCACTCTAATTGTACATGATTGATTTCATATCAGACATAAATGAAAGATAATAATTTATTCTCGAAAAATGATTATTATAATTATGGGCAATAAGGATCAATTAAAACAAGAAAACATCATCAATCTATTTTGATTTATACATGTTGAAATAGCATAAGTATTCGAATAAAGAAACAAATATTTTTCATTGTAAAGTACAAGAAGTTTACATTTATGCCTAGTAACGTTCAAGGTCAATCACATGTTATTGTAAAGCTTTTTTTTAACATATTGATTCATTTCTAGAAAGCACCAAAAATAGTTTAACTAACATTAAATAATTATCTTGAAGCCTTGTATTTTTCAATACAGGTAGCTTTAAATGACGATCTACAGAATAATAAAAAAAGATTTTTCATCAAAGAAAATCATAATAGAAGGAAGTTGAACACGAGATCAATAATTTTTTTTAAAATTTTGTCGAAAACCTACAGTCAAATAAAAATCAAACATTAAATAACTTGCCACAGCAACGATTTTATTCTAACGTATTTTAATAAAATTTTGTCTCTCACATTCTTACGTATCAAAAATAATCAAATTTTATTTATAGAACATCCATAATAATGCATATTTGAAAAAAAAACAACTATACACAATGCTAATAAACAATAAATTCTATTTGCGGAATAGTAAAAATCGTCGTCTTATTCCTTTTTTCGTTAGATGAAATACTGAATATCTCTTTCGAATATTATATTCGTAAAACTTTCGATTCAAAGACTAGTATGAATATTATCTTATCGATAATTCGATCTCGTTTTCAATTATGACAATACAAAAGAAAACTTGTTTGGAAATAATTTAAAAACTAAATGTATCAAAAAAAAAGATTATTATTACTTGATTACACAATTCTTCTCATAAAGTAACGTTGTAATAAATATAATTAGTGCCAATTTGTTTATATATATAAGCATAAGCAAAAATGAAATCAAATGGTTTCTTTCTTATGATTGTATTTTATTTAAACTGGCTTTTTTTAAAAATTTCATTATGGTTTCTCTTTCTTATTCAAATATTTTATTTTGATGTTAATGAATTACACAATGTTTTATTATTTTCATCTTGAATTTTATAGTAAAGTAAAACAAAAACAGACGAAATTTCACATTTTTCTTTTTTTTATTGCAAACAAGAGAACAAAAAAAGTATACTTTATTCATAATATGAAGATAATTCAATATCATTCGAAGATTTTTCATCAAAAGAAAGAACGGAAAACGACTTGATTAAGATTCCGACATATTTCTCAATACTAACTTTTCTTTAGTTTTCTTCTCTTTCTCTTTGGTTAGAAGATCGATAATAAGAATAGATGTTTCTGACGACAATAATAAGAAAACGATTTTTTTTCTATTTTATGTCGGTGCAATTGACAACCGTAGACATTCATTTGCTAAGAAAAGGAACAAGTTGATAAGAGAAGGTAGAAATGTTTTTGCTGCCATGACTTCTGCTGTGATTTGGTTTCCATGTATTTTCAATCGACATAATTGAATCAACAAAAAAACATTGTTGTACTGTTTTTTTTTCATTCAAAATCATTTAGTTACTTTTTTAGTTAATGGAGAATACATCAAGTATGTATGAATCAAACGAAACAACACAGAAAAGAATACTTTAAAATTAAATTTGTCTTTTTATCAAAACACTTTAAAATATTTCAAACAAAATTTTTGATTATTGAATATTTGATAAAAGATTGAAATTTTGTTTAACAATATAGAGCTTAAATTCTTCTTCTGTTTATTTTCATATTACTGAGTAAACGAAAGTATTCTTGCACTCATATGTATACAAGAATGTCCTATCCCTTCACATTTGCTATGCTGTACTATGAACATAATCTCTTAATATTTTGCTCGTAAGTAAGGATCATATGTACTATGAAGCATGGCAAAAAAAATACAAACAAACTTGAAATTTATAAGAAAAGAAAAAAAGACCATCTTATTCGTTGGACACAACTTATAACATCCATCTACAATTTTTGTAAGAAGAGTACCATGAGTAGCTATGCCATGACTTTCAAAATTATTTGATCAGATTTATTTTCAATTTTTTCCTTTTGCCATAAACGCTTATAAGAATTCAAATACTCATTTAAGTAAAAACTATTATTTCCAACGAGAATTTTTGAAGATAAAAAAAATGGTCGCATGTTTATCAAGGGTAGAATCTCTAAAAAATCAGATTTTTCAAGTCATAGAATTCTGTTTGAATTACGCAAAATGATAAAGCAAACAATTCTCTATAAAATGAACCATTTTCAAGTTCTGAACGAGCTTTTTTGACTGAAATGTATCAACCTTAAGAAACGCATAACAACTGTATTTTCATGCG